TCAGTAAACTGGTGGTCGAGATATTTTACCGTTATTTGGTCAGTAAACTGGGGGCGGAGATATTTTATCATTATTTGGTCAGTAAACTGGTGGCCGAGATATTTTACCGTTATTTGGTCAGTAAACTGGTGGTCGAGATATTTTACCGTTATTTGGTCAGTAAACTGGGGGCGGAGATATTTTATCATTATTTGGTCAGTAAACTGGTGGCCGAGATATTTTACCGTTATTTGGTCGGCAAACTGACTATAAAGAAGACATTTCTGTAAAACTTCGTAAATAATATAATTTATAAATCTCTGATGTGCTTCAGAAACATTTTTTTTATTTAAGTGAAAAGAAACATATTAATGCTCCTTAAAAAAATCAAAAATAGCAAAGTACTAAACTTAATGAGTTATAAATTTGTTTCTAGAAGAGCTTTCAACACATTTTTATCGGTTCTTAATCGGTCTCAAATTCACCTATCTGCAACAAGAGTTCTAAGCAAATCTATTTGTTTTCTATGTCCACGGCTTAACCCACTGTGCCCACCCCCCACCCCTGCCTCCTTATAAATATTTATTAAATACCTGGCTTATTCACATCCTTTATTTGGCCAGTAAACTGAAGACGGAGATATTATACCTTTACTTGGCCAGTAAACTGGCGGCGGAAATATAATACCTTTATTTGGCCAGTAAACTGGCGGCGGAGATAGTATACCTTTACTTGGCCAGTAAACTGGCGGCGGAGATATTATACCTTTACTTGGCCAGTAAACTGTCGGCGGAAATATTATACCTTTACTAGGCCAGTAAACTGGTGGCGGAAACAGTATACCTTTACTTGGCCAGTAAACTGGCGGCGGAAATATTATACCTTTATTTGACCAGTAAACTGGCGGCGGAGATAGTATACCTTTACTTGGCCAGTAAACTGGCGGCGGAGATCTGATAAGATGTGAATGAACCTCCATGACCTCCTTAGGAGAAACGGATTGAGGAGAGACAAGATTAGCTCTTGGTGAACCTGGAGTAGGAGAGAGGGACGTATCATCTCCAGGTTCCTCTAAACCTTCACACGAGGATAGGAAGGGATTATCTGCTCGGGATAGATGAAGGTTCTCGAGCTCTTCACCCAGTTCATAATATTTCTGATTGAAGTCACCTTAAATACATTTTACATTTAGGTTTTTAAAGAATGTGTTAATTTCTTGCGGTATGCATAGTTCGGCATTTCTATAGATTTCTTTTATATGCTATTGTATATTCGTAGATCTGACATTAAGCTAGGAAGGATGTTAAATGAAACACACATTTTTGTTCAAACGAGTACTTTCGTTATGAGGAGGGGCCCTCTGGTTTTACCTCTGTAACCCTTAAAAAAATTCAATAAATTCAATAAAAATTCTATCGTAAAAGCTTTAAATTTTAATAAGCAAATCATTAAAAATTATAAAGAGAAACATTTATAGCACATTTTTTCCTGTTTTTAAGCTATTAAGGTACCATTGAAAATTGGACATGCAATTCTTTCTTTTTTTAATGTAGAGTCCCCTGGGTTACGATTATAGTATCATATAAACTCTTAAAACAACATTTTTATCAATCACAATTAATCAATCAATGAAAAAATGTTTTTAATTATATAAAATTTGTTTCTAAAAACTTCCATTTAAATGGAAAATTTAACAGCTAATATTGCACTTACAAGGAACCATGATTGTAACAAACCAATGATTATAAAGGGCGGGCGTGGCCCCCTCGTAGAATTCAGAGCTATCACACTTTTACAATCTGCAAGTGAAGTAGTACTTGTGAGGTAATTGGACTGTATGTGTCCCTTTAAAGTATATGAGAAGCCAAATGTTTTGAATTTACAGTTCAAATTTTGCAAACATTTTTTGGTGGGCAAAAAAATATTTGGCCCCCCTACATTTATTTCTGTGTGCGCCCATGCAAAAAGGCGTCTTTATTGTATTGGTATATTCGACGACAACTATACAGTGAAGTACTTACCCTCTGTACCTCTGATGTACTCTGAATAGTTCTGATTGTACTCCTCTGTACCGTACAGCATATCCTCTCCACACTTCAACTCTTCTCTACTCTTACGGAACAGTTACCTATCTGGTGGATGGGAGGGAGGTTACCTTTCTGAAGGTGGGAGGGCGGGGGCAGTTTACCTATCTGGTGGAGGAGAGAAATCCTGAATATCAGGAGTATATCCTCGCATAGGAGAGTAGGCAGGAGTTTGTCCTCTTACAGGAGACAAGGTACCAGGACTATATTTAAACATATTATAGAATCTCTTCATATCCAGGACTATATTTAAATATATTATAGAATAACTTTATATCCAGGACTATATTTAAATATATTATAGAATAACTTTATATTTATAGAATTTTGTTAAAATTCAAATTTAGAAATTTAAAATGTTAAAAAGTATATATATTATAGAACGAACAATTTTTAGAAAAAGAAATGGTATCGCTCATAGATGCTTCTCAATTAGTTATTAAGGATTTGGGACCCTAAAGAGGTTCCATAAAAATAACATAAGTTCTGCAAATTTCAAAAGTTTTATTCTTAACATTTGATTTTCTTTCATTACACTAAAATTTTGACTCTCAGAGAAAATGCACACAAAATACGAATTTTCTCTTATATTAAAATATTTTAAGGCTTATTAAAAGCAATCTTTTACATGATTCAGATTGAAAATGTTTAAAATTCATAACATTTTCGTGGTGCCTTTTATAAGTCCAAGAATAACTAAGACGAACCAAAAAACTGTCCTATAACTACCCTCATCATAGTTACTCGACAAGCTAGTCAAATTGGTTAATTTTTTAAAATATGTTCTGAATAAAAACTATGATTATTTCGGCCATAGAGAAGATATTTTGGAAGCAAAAAAAACTTGGATGTGTTATAATTAAGAAAATCTGGATATTATCTGTATTTTCAATTAGAAATATGGTGAACACTCCCTTTAAGTTTTATAAAACCGAACAAAATGGGCAAACTCAGGATATTGAATTTTCTTATCAAGGAAAGTAAGTGTATATTGTATCTTCTTTAAAGAAGTAATAAATCGAAGACTAGGAGAAAAATCTGCAAAATCTCAATTAATAAATATATATTTTTTTATAAATTTAAAATTTTCCTTTCACGTTCAAAATTTTGAAGAAAGTCAATATTTCAGATATATTTTCAAAATCCGATATTCTATAAACCAACAAACCATCCTTTTTCGTTAAGAATATCAATATTTAATACAAAAAAGCCTAACTAAGCCTGTAAACCCTAAACTTTCTGAGAAATATAATATGACTGGGCTTTCTTGACGCTTCGCACCACTCTCTCTCAAGGATAAATTCAGGTCTTACTGTTTCTTTAACGGCAATAATCGCATTTTTGCGGATTAAAAAAAACTGGACCCATAAAACTGTGGAAAAGGAAATCGACATTTAGCAATCTTATTTATATTTGACGTTGTCATAAAGAAAATTGTTTGTTTTTTCTCTCAGCAGCTTTAAAATCAACCTAAAAAGTGAATGGGTCTGTGTAGTGTGTACATTTGACAATAACTAAATCAAACAGTATTTTGCTAATTATTCCTTGTAAGCTTCAGCTAAAAACAAGCGTGTAACAGATTTCAAATGTATATTCGCAGGGCTACAAAAAGTTTAGGTGAGTTGGTGAGGTAAAATCAAAGTTTAGGTGAGTCTAGTTGGTGAGGAAAAATCAAAGTTTAGGTGAGTATAGTTGGTGAGGAAAAATCAAAGTTTAGGTGCGTCTAGTTGGTGAGGAAAAATCAAAGTTTAGGTGAGTCTAGTTGGTGAGGTAAAATCAAAGGCTTTGCAATGCTTTAAAGTCGGGGCTATCCAAAAATTGAATGACTAAATTTTTGAGTTTTCTAGATTTCAGTGTGGTTTATATTAATTGGACTATTTGAGTTTAACACTCGTCTTTTTATTCCACACTCTTATGGACATCAATGTTTTATAAGTGGGCAAATAAAAGATTGGGTTTGATCGGTTCAGCCGTTTTGACGTTTATCGGATACAAACAAACAGACCAGACCAAAAACAAATTGAATCATGACAAAAGGAAAACTACATGAATTTAAATATTGCAACCTGAGTAAATCTCCAGAGGGAGAAATTATTCTCTCTTCGCTCTGGGACCTAGCTCCATAACTATGGTAACTCCTCTCTGTTTCCATACCTCAACATATTATGATAAAAATTTAAAATTGATTCGGTGTCTGTTGTACGATCTCGTATTATCCGGTTACGCCAACAGTTCCTTTAAAAAGATAAAATGAACTTACTGAGCTTGAATTACGTATACAGTCCCTTTAAAGAGATAAAATGAACTTACTGAGCTTGAATTACGTTTATAGTCCCTGTAAAGAGATAAAATGAACCTACTGAGCTTGAAATTACGTCTACAGTCCCTTTAAACAGATAAAATGAACCTACTAGCTTGAAATTACGTCTATAGTCCCTTTAAAGAGATAAAATCAACCTACCGTCTGAGCCGGATTCTGGTGAAAATGCTCTGTCTGATCTGTTTGATGGAGATATTGGAGAATTCCATCCAGCTGCAGAGAATTCAAAAACTAAAAATAAAACAAATTTCAGTTTAGAGATGGGCATCAAATTTAGTTTAGAGATGGGCATCAAATTTAGTTTAAAGATGGGCATCAAACATAGTTTAGAGATGGGCATCAAATTTATTTTAGAGATGGGCATCAAATATAGTTTAGAGGTGGGCATCAAATTTAGTTTAGAGATGGGCATCAAATTTAGTTTAGAGATGGGCATCAAATTTAGTTTATAGATAAGCATCAAATTTAGTTTAGAGATTGGCATCAAATTTAGTTTAGAGATAAGCATCAAATTTAGTTTAGAGATGGGCATCAAATATAGTTTAGAGATGGGCATCAAATTTAGTTTACAGATGGGCATCAAATTTAGCTTAGAGATGGGCATCAAATTTAGTTCAGAGATGGGCATCAAATATAGCTTAGAGATGGGCATCAAATTGTTAGAGATGGGCATCAAATTTAGCTTAGAGATGGGCATCAAATTTAGCTTAGAGATGGGCATCAAATTTAGTTTAGAGAAGGGCATCAAATTTAGTTTAGAGATGGGCATCAAATATAGTTTAGAAAATTCTGTAAACTGCAGGCGGAGATATTTTACCAGTATTTGTTCAGTAAACTGTGGGCGGAGATATGTTACCAGTATTTGTTCAGTAAACTGATGGTGGAGATATTTTATCATTTTTTGGTCAGTAAACTGGTGGTGGAGATATTTTACCGTTATGTGGTCAGTAAACTGGGGGCGGAGACATTTTATCATTATTTGGTCAGTAAACTGGTGGTCGAGATATTTTACCGTTATTTGGTCAGTAAACTGGGGGCGGAGATATTTTATCATTATTTGGTCAGTAAACTGGTGGCCGAGATATTTTACCGTTATTTGGTCGGCAAAATGACTATAAAGAAGACATTTCTGTAAAACTTCGTAAATAATATAATTTATAAATCTCTGATGTGCTTCAGAAACATTTTTTTTATTTAAGTGAAAAGAAACATATTAATGCTCCTTAAAAAAATCAAAAATAGCAAAGTACTAAACTTAATGAGTTATAAATTTGTTTCTAGAAGAGCTTTCAACACATTTTTATCGGTTCTTAATCGGTCTCAAATTCACCTATCTGCAACAAGAGTTCTAAGCAAATCTATTTGTTTTCTATGTCCACGGCTTAACCCACTGTGCCCACCCCCCACCCCTGCCTCCTTATAAATATTTATTAAATACCTGGCTTATTCACATCCTTTATTTGGCCAGTAAACTGAAGACGGAGATATTATACCTTTACTTGGCCAGTAAACTGGCGGCGGAAATATAATACCTTTATTTGGCCAGTAAACTGGCGGCGGAGATAGTATACCTTTACTTGGCCAGTAAACTGGCGGCGGAGATATTATACCTTTACTTGGCCAGTAAACTGTCGGCGGAAATATTATACCTTTACTAGGCCAGTAAACTGGTGGCGGAAACAGTATACCTTTACTTGGCCAGTAAACTGGCGGCGGAAATATTATACCTTTATTTGACCAGTAAACTGGCGGCGGAGATAGTATACCTTTACTTGGCCAGTAAACTGGCGGCGGAGATCTGATAAGATGTGAATGAACCTCCATGACCTCCTTAGGAGAAACGGATNAGGGTCAACCTAGACCGAAATATATTTTCACTAAATGTGGAACTAACATCTACTTTGTTTACTCTACAGAGGTTTGGTTCATCACCATCACCGAATTTTAAATGTTGTAGAAGTGTTTGCTTGCATTCAAAAGTGTTTTTGACATTTTCGATGTTATAATTTTACCCGTACAGAGTCATAAAGCAGATCAAGGAAAATAAATAAAAATATAAAACTAAAGGGTCCGTTCACTTAATTTGGTAGTTTTTCAATGATAAAGATTAGAAGGTAGGATTTCGAACTAAAAGCCAAGCTATGTACGCGTACATCCTTTTTTGTTTAGAAATCCTTTTAAATAAGTTGGATTGAAGAGAGCAGAACTGTAATGAATTCAATTTTTTGTATATAATAATTAATATATATATATATAATAATAATAATAAATGATTAATATAAAATTACCTTTAGCACCTATGAATACTATAACTCAACGTAAATCATTTTGACTAAAAACATGTTTTTATAAATCAACAATTTCCCCAACAACTTTGCAACATTTTAGCACCTCCGGTTTTATTTTAGATTATGAGATTAGTACAATCTTGTTTGATTAAATTAGCTATGTCCTTGTCTCGAGAAATTGATATAAAACTGTGTCAAAGTTATACAAAAAACTCGTATATTTGTGATATGGTATTTGAAACAAAGTTATACAAAACTAGTATACCTGTGATATGGTATTTGAAACAAAGTTATACAAAAACTCGTATACCTGTGATATGGTATTTGAAACAAAGTTATACAAAAAACTCGTATACTTGTGATATGGTATTTGAAACAAAGTTATACAAAAACTAGTATACTTGTGATATGGTATTTGAAACAAAGTTATACAAAAACTAGTATACCTGTGATATGGTATTTGAAACAAAGTTATACAAAAAACTCGTATACTTGTGATATGGTATTTGAAACAAAGTTATACAAAAACTAGTATACTTGTGATATGGTATTTGAAACAAAGTTATACAAAAACTAGTATACTTGTGATATGGTATTTGAAACAAAGTTATACAAAAACTAGTATATTTGTGATATGGTATTTGAAACAAAGGTATACAAAAACTCGTATACTTGTGATATGGTATTTGAAACAAAGTGTAAACACATCATATTCAGCAAATACAAAACAAATCTGAAAATTTTAGGCAAGCTCTCATTATAATTTAAATGTTATAATTTTGCATTTTTAGGTTAACTTAAAAAATGTATGTTGTACTTTTGATGACGATTTCTCCGGCCGCTAATTTTCTCTGCCAAGTAAAATCCACGAAATATTGAGAGCAGCGGCACCTTGCGGTCAAAAAACTGTCATCAAAAGTACAACAAATACTTTAGTTTGACGTGAGGTTCATTACTCTACAGTGAATGTTTGGTTTTCAATTTGGAGGAAATATTGTTTGACTAAAAATGGTTTGAAAACCGACTTCAAGTGAAACCAGAGGCGTATGCAGTTGGGGGGGGGGGGGGGGGTTTGGGGGCGGGCCCCCCCCCCCCCGGGCAAATTCCTGTTGACGCCCCTGTGCTGTTACATAGCAGTTCTAAACCATGCATGTTTATTCAAAGGAATTAAGTTTTTGCCTCAAACCCTGATTTTTTAATCCCTGAATCTTTGCTTTGTTTCGACAAATATTTCTGTAATAAATTTTGTACATAACATATTTTGCAAAATATATAAATAAAGATTTTTTCACTGAGAATACTGACATACTTTTTAAAAAACATCTTCTGACTAGAAACTTGATGTTACACAACAAAACTAATCTTAGGGTATATAAAAATCAAAATTTTTAGTGAAATTGATCAATCCTAAATGTGTTTGATTGATCAATTCTAAAAGTCCTCGTTTGATCTCTATATATGTAGATTTTGTGAATCGAGTGAATAAAGTCTGGACAGTAAACAGCGAATACTGAGTGTGCGTAAAACTGAAGAAACCAGAATGGTATTGATTTTACAGCTTTCTCACAGCTGGGCAGGGGGTTTAATCCCCCCCATACAGGGGAATTATACTCCCTGAACCCTATCCCAGACCTGGGGGGAGGGGGGAGTCCCCAGCACCCATTATTTACGGATAGCCTAAAAGATATTGATTTTATCACGTGCGAAATATATGGGTATACATATCACGGTAATCTAGAGGTCCTGGTTAAAACTTCAGTGAGTCTTAACTTTAGAGCACATTTTCACTCATTGAATATAGGTTTTTAGTATTTCCTATTTTGTACTTTGTTGTTGGGCTATGCATTTTAAATATTTTAGTATATGAAATTTCTCACGCTATTTTTGACGGATTTCGAATAAGAGATCAAAATATGATTGAAAATAAACCGATATAGATAGGATGCACTTTGATAAAGTTAGTTTTACGTGATATTGTATTGTATATTGTATTATTCCTTGTTTACGTGATATTGTATAGTATATTGTATTATTCCTTGTTTACGTGATATTGTATAGTATATTGTATTATTCCTTGTTTACGTGATATTGTATAGTATATTGTATTATTCCTTGTTTACGTGATATTGTATAGTATATTGTAATATTCCTTGTTTACGTGATATTGTATAGTATATTTTATTATTCCTTGTTTACGTGATATTGTATAGTATATTGTATTATTCCTTGTTTACGTGATATTGTATAGTATATTGTATTATTCCTTGTTTTTAATCTTCCGGACAGAAACAATCTCAAGAACTGACGAGGGTCAACCTAAATGTGGAACTAACATCTACTTTGTTTACTCTACAGAGGTTTGGTTCATCACCATCACCGAATTTTAAATGTTGTAGAAGTGTTTGCTTGCATTCAAAAGTGTTTTTGACATTTTCGATGTTATAATTTTACCCGTACAGAGTCATAAAGCAGATCAAGGAAAATAAATAAAAATATAAAACTAAAGGGTCCGTTCACTTAATTTGGTAGTTTTTCAATGATAAAGATTAGAAGGTAGGATTTCGAACTAAAAGCCAAGCTATGTACGCGTACATCCTTTTTTGTTTAGAAATCCTTTTAAATAAGTTGGATTGAAGAGAGCAGAACTGTAATGAATTCAATTTTTTGTATATAATAATTAATATATATATATATATATATATATATATAAAATAAAGCATTAAAGGGGATTTTTTTCAAATTAATTTTAGATGAAAAAATTCAAATAATTTCATCAATATAAAAGTTAAAAATGTGAAAAATGGCCAAATATTGAAATGTATTCTTCAGAATTCTTTAGATGTTTTCCTTTCTAGAAGATTCAAATAAAAGATTTTCATCATTTGATTTTATATCTCTATACTAAAATTACATTATAAATCTATTTTCTATGTATACAATAAATTTTATTATATTAAAATAATGAGTACGATTTATAAAGTAATTTTTATAAACATTAAACTATTAAATCAATTAAATCATTTATTCGCAGCTTAAACTTTCCCCGTTTTTTGTTTGCATCTCTTTGTTCACCTATCACCTAGAGAAAAAAGTTTATTTTTTTTAATTTTATTTTTTTATTTTTGTCACTCACCCGAAGTCTTTGAAGTCTACGAAGTTGTTGTAAACGTAGATTCCGAAGATGTGGTGACGAATGAGGAGAAAACCCTGAAAAGGAATTTTGAAAAAGTTTAACAGTTTATCGATCATTATTTAATAATTGAAGTTTAGTAACATTAAAATTTAAAAGAGGGAAAGCGCTGCGTCACCCTTTTGCAGTGATAATTTATTCCGATGGAATTAAAAAGTATTGTATTAATAATTTTGTTTCTAAGAAACAGTTAATATCAAAATGCACGCACATAAAATTATTAATTTATTTTAAGGAAAAAAAATGAAAAAAACAATATAAAATTAACAAGAAGTGGTTCTTTGATGATTTATTTTTTAATAAAAAACACAAAGAAAAAGTAATTTCAAATTTTGACCACGTGGACTGCTTTGCTTGAGTAGAGTGTTTTTTTATATAAAGGAAAATCATAAAAGATAAAAAATTACATTTCCAGTCTGTTTTTTTCCTTAAAAAAAATTAAATTACATTTTTCAAATCAGAACAAAGAAATTGAGTCTTTGTCACAAGCTCTAATTTAATAATTTGATAATATCTTTGCAACCTAATGTTGTACACTTTTGATATTTCAGACTTAGGTTAACTTAGATTATCTAGGAAAATATATAGGTTGAAATATCTAATACTTTCCACTAAACCCAACTATTTCTTTCTTCCGTAAACTACAAAAGCACTGCAGTACACCAAAAGCTTAGTTGAGGGTGCTAAGGTCTACGAGATTGAGTAGCTCAGGTCCACGAGATTGAGTAGCTCAGGTCTACGAGATTAAATAGCAAGATAAAGGGATTAAAAAACAGTTTGTTTTTAATCTTTGTGAAGAAACAATCTCAAGGAATATTGATTGCCTAAAAACATTTTTTTAGAAAGTGAATATTTGCAAATTATCTTTTTTCCATCTCAAATCTGAGTTCTTTTCCCTTATGTCTATTTGACAGCCCACATTTTTATTTTGAATAACCTTTTTATTTGTTTATATTCTTGTGATTTTTACATTTTTATATTTTTTTATCGATTTTGATGGTTATTATATCGTTAGAACTGACGAGGGTCAACCCAGACCGAAATATATTTTCAATAAATGTGGAACTAACATCTACTTTTTTACTCTACAGAGGTTTGGTCCATCACCATCACTGAATTTTAAATTAGAGTTTGTGGCAAAGATTGAATTCCTTAAACCTTCTAGTTCTAAATAAAAAAAAAATTGAGCGTTTCAGATGTTCAATTGTAGAATTTAGGGGAAAAATCATATAATTTAAGAACTACGGGCAAAATATTCTGTAGAATTTACATTTGAAAAATTTGATAGGAAAGAATAAGTCTAACTCATTTTGTTTGTTTTGGAAGAAACAAATCTTATAATTTAATAATTCTGAACCAAAAATGTAAATAAAGATTTAGACGTCTAGGCAAAGCTGGGTTCCACAGCAAGTACATGCAGTGGGACCCATAAAATTGTGGAATATAAAGACGACATTTAAACAATATGTATTTGATGTAGATGTAAAGCAAATAGTTTTGCCAGGAGCTTGAAAACCAACTTATAAGGTAAAATGTGTCTGTGCACACTGCACACATTTTGTGTTTCATGTTTATTGGACTATTAAAAGTAACTACTAGATGCTAACAGTCGTCATCTTATTCCATATTTTTATGCGCCTCACTGTACTAAAATATACCTTGTTGGGTTATTACACCTCTGTTACCAACCTCCATCTGTAAACATTAGAGATAAAAACTTGATTGTAGATTTCGAGATCAGTGCTTTATATCCTCTTTTTATTAATCTACAGATTAATTTAATCTTACATCAGTTAATATCCGGGAAAGTGTCTAAAATGTAATCAGAGTGTCGATTGCAGATAATTAGAAGCCAAGAAATTTTGCGCGCAATCATTGAGGCAACTCTTATTAGTCGAAACCCAGCAGGGATATCCAAAAGAGAGATTTAAGCAGAACATTAAAACCGTTCACAGTGGATATCTAAATTTAACAATCGGAATTCCACAGTTTTTTCAACTCAGGTTGATCAATATTACTGCCAATTAAACAGAAACACACACAACCTTGTTTACAAGAAAAGCGTACTGCAGTTTGTGCCTTGTGGGAGCAATACAAACAAAATCAGTTTTGTCAATATGCATCCTAGAGGCCAAAACTTAAGACAAGGTATCGTTATGAAAACCAGTTTTAGAACCCGGGTTTTACTATTGGGGTTAGGCAGTTTTGTGGATATAAATATTTTTGTTATGAAATATTTTTTTATTTATTTTCTTCATATTCTCCATTTTTGTCGAATCTCTTAAATTAAAGTCTACAGAATGTTAAAACTCGAGAGTTTCTTTTAAATTTCGGGCTCAGATGATGCAGTGCATTTTATTATATACAACAATTTCATGGGATTTGTCAAAATGAGAAAATCTATTAAACTGCATATTAGTCTTTCAGGGGGGGGGCGGCTTGCAACTAATCCAACACAGCTAAATAAAGTGAATAAGGGTAGACAAAAAAGAAAAGTATAAGAAAAAAATGATTATTTGAATTTAAAACATGTCAGCATCAATTAATAATCACTTAATATTATAATTTGTAAACATATTAAAATAAGAAATTTCCAATTTGCTAAAATAAATATAAAGACCTGGTGCCCAAGATCCTGGACCAATGGACCCCGGTTCAGTTTACTCAGATTACTTGACAAAGAACCTGGCTTCTGGAATTTGTTTGGTCCTGGTCCTGGTGGAAAATTTGGTCCATTTATTCCGTCCTGGAGGAAAGCAGGACGACCCCTGTAGTTTGAGGGACCTTGAGCTCCGTATATAATCCTATTTCCTACATCTTGTTTAAACCCTTGCTTCTGTTCTTGATCTCGTTCTTGATCAAACACTTGATCTAAACATTTATTGGATCAGTATAGTGGGATGTCAGATGTATGAGTGAACCCTTTTTTGGATTATCGACGATGTAGAAATTGACGACTTCGTGAATTAATCGCGCTGTGTACACTGCTTTTAAAAGTTCCATTAATTAATTTTAAAGACTGGGCCGACTTTTCAGTGTGGTCATGCTTTGACCTTCGATTTTACCTCAAACAAACTTTTTATAGCCCTGTCATGCGTACTTTAGAACTTTAAAGCACTTGTTTTTAACTGTAGTTTTTAGAAGTAATTGAAAAAATGCTGATACGGCAGTTTGTTCAGTTTGTTCTTATGAAAAGTTTAGCGTGAAAAAATGTATATTTGTATGATTATTATCTACCTTGAGAGATTCCAAGACTTTGGATTCCAGGTTCTGAGCCAAAGTTCGACACAAAATCTCCAGGAAATGAATTGCTAAAAAATACTCATTTTGAACTAATTAGAATCAGAATTCAGATCATCTATGTCATTTTAGGTTACCCTCCTGATTCACAAGAATCCCACCAGTACCCGTGAAACCTTTATCTGATCCATAATGTGGAAGATATTGTCGTTTTTACAGGTTTAAAGTCTTTAATTTTGATAATTCCGGCCTATATGTTTTCCTGCTTTCTTGTTTCAAGGGTATCGTTGTGAATCAGGCCTTGCCAACTTTGCACTGAAGATCCAGTTGAAAAAAGGCTCAATGTTTTTTTATCGAAAAATAAATTTTAAGCATCGCAAAATGTATGCAATTTTTCAACCTCTCAAATAGGTTTGAAAATTAAGAAGTGTTTAAATTAAAATCATTTTTACCTGAAACTTGTAAATCTTGAAGGGCTGGTATTTTTCCATGAAGAATAAAGATTAGATGCATGTGCTTCTAAAAGTATGATAGTAAAATTATCCTAATCTTAAACCTGTCTTTTAGATCTTGGTCCACATTAGGTTCCCAATCGGAATTCCGTTGCACGGAATTGCGAGAAATTGTGTGGAATTGCGAGGAAATTACAGGGCCCGTAATCGCGCGCAAGAAAATCTACTTGCGTTGGAAACCCTAGTCCACATAAAAAGCAGAAACGAAAGAATTTCACGAAAAATCAGAAAAAAATATTTAATACGTGAAACATAATTGAACAAGGAAGAAACAGAAAAGTATTCAATATATGGAACATTGGAACAATGAAGAAACAGAAAAACATTCAAAATGGAACATTGGAACAAGGAAGAAACAGAAAAACATTAAACATGAAACATTGGAACAATTAAGAAACAAAAAAACATCCAATACATGGAACATTGAAACAATTAAGAAACAAAAAAACATTCTATACATGGAACATTGGAACAAGGTAGAAACAGAAAAGAATTCGATATATGGAACATTGGAACATAAAAGTATTCGATATTTGGAACATTGGACAAGGAAGAAACAGAAAAGTATTTGATACATGGAACATTGGAATAAGGAAGGAACAGAATCACATTCTCTGCCTTTTATCTCCATGAAATTTACGAAGTCTAAATTTTCTTAAAAATTTTATTTATAGTTGGCTTTTATCATATTATCCAGAAATTTGACTATCACAGAATACTTAGACCTGAACAAAGAAGATACAATTATGGGAAAACGATTTTTTAAATCCTAACTTTAAAAAAAATATTTTGTTTTTCATGTTTGTGAGAAGCATTATAAAAGTCTCGCAAAAAAATCATCATAATGAATAATTTTAAAAATAATAATGATGAAAATAAAATTTATGAAACTATTGTGTACTTTATCATTCTTTCTCGCTTCATCGTGAATTTCATAATGAACGTGCTGTAAAGTAATCATTGTGCTATAAAGTTGAATTAGCTGTACATAATAGCACGTGTGCTATAAAGTTTTGATTGGTTCCCGAATTTTCTCCAAAAAATTTAGGATATCTCAAAAATAATTTTTTTCAATTGAAATGAAAATAAAATTGAAATCAGCTTTTATTTGACTTCTGCTTTGTTTCAATCCTTATTTGATCTAGAAATAGCCATTTAAATAAGACAAGTACACAAACGTTTCATAAAATTACCTATACCACTATTACTTTGGCACGACGTACTAAAAAGTTGTTGGTTCTCGCCTTTTTAGATTATATTTTGTCCTTCGCTAAAGCTCGGGACAAAATTAAATCTAAAAAGACTTGAACCTTCTCAATAAAGAGAACATATCTGTCCAAAAACTTTATAACACTGTGAACCAAAATAACAGTATTATTAATAGTTATTTTACTTGCCTTGCCGCCTTCGTACTAGAATCCTATCAGCCATTCGTCTTTGAAAGAAAGCCCATTTAATATTAATTATAAATAATGAGTAAATATATATATATATATATTATTAACATTTATAAAAAAAATTGAGTCTGTCATAAACTCAAACTTTGTCTTTATCCTTGCAACCTGATGGTGTGCACCTTTGCTAATTTAAAGTTAAACTATTTGATCTTGACAGTAATGATTGTTCGAAATATCTAATGTCTACAAAATTGGGTTGAAAAGATAAAGAGATTAGAAAATTAGAGTTTGTGGCAAAAACTCAATTCCTTAAAGCGGGAAAGAAGAAGTTAAAAAAAGCAAAATTGAAAATTTGTCTTTGTTCAATCGGAGCTAACTTAAAGGGAGAGACCGGGTAGACATGGTAGTTGAGGTGAAAGTGCAGTACTTTAGAGGAAAACTTTAGGATTCATTTCATACCAATGAGAAATTATTACGGTGTAATATTTCTAAATAAGAGTGTAACGTCGTTTGTAATATTTTACCAGTTGTTTCAGTCAGCAAAAGAAAGTTTTTTTACAATTCTTAAATAACATGGCCGGATAAACCATGTAACAAATACTATTCTATAAACTAGTTGCATGTATACAAACAGATTGAGAATAATAATAAACGTATATCATTATAAATAAGTTATCAAAATTCAATTTAAAATCTCGCAGGTTTTAGCTAGGGTCCCTTGTTGGAGGTTTTTTATTTTACTTGTGAAGATGACATTTAGAAGTAATCTGCGAATAAACAGAAAAGTTAGGGTTGACAATGAAATAATCGATTCTACGGTTCTACTATGGCTATTATCGATACTTTCTTTTAAGAAATATGTTTCTAAACAGCAAATTAGTATACTTAATAAATTTTTACATTGTTTTGTCCGGGTGATTAAATAATTCTTAGAAATGTTTCCTTCTGGCTGAAACAACTAGTGAAATATTAAATTAACGACCTCAATCTCTTTTTCAAAATTTCATACCTTACAAATGTCTAATTGGTATCACATGAAATCAAAAGGTTTTTCTCTCTAAATACTGCACTTTCAGGTCAACTAACATGTCTAGCCGGTCTCTCCCTTTAAATATTGTCTGCCAATATGTGTCGCCTTTAACAAGGAATTTTACATCAAAAACAATTTTATTGAAAAGAATAAGTTTTCAAAATTATAAAAGATTTCAGAATGATTTATACAAGAAATCTAATTGTATGTGAATATTTTTGAGATGTTATCATTGATTTTTTCTGCTCCCGGAGTTTTAGCGAGTGCCGGCTTGCTTGCCATTTTATTTCTCTAAAAAATCTTTCAAAATCTTCCCATATCCAAAATCATCCCATATCCAAATCTTCCCATATCCAAAATCTTCCCATATCCAAAATCTTCCCATATCCAAAATCTTCCCGTATCCAAAATCTTCCCATATCCAAAATAAAACCATGAGGTGAGGTGCCTCCATAATATTAAAGCTAGTCATAAAGTTGCTGCAGAGCTCGTAGATTGATAGATTTGTGCGGTATCTCAAATTCTCAAAAGAGGAAAAAGAATTTTATTTTCATTTCTGTTTTTGTATCAGAAAAAGTCTGTTTTTGTTTATATATTTTAAATATTGAAGGATGTATAAAGCTAGTGGAAGACACATATATTATGCATTCTTTATTGATAAGAGATTCCTGACAGTACAACATTTTTCTATATTTCCAAATATCTAGAAAATATGGAGAGCTGAACACATCTCATACTCAACCAAGCCACGCCATGCCTCCTGTCAAATTTCGTTTGATCTATATCTTTAAGTGTAATTATATAATTACGAAACAATAGTGAGGACCTTTAATATTCATGGAACAATTCAATGGAATACTTTTCTTTATTATTTCTTTTAGAAATTTTTAAAAATCTTTTGATCAAATTACTTTTAATTCTATCAAATTTTTCAAATTTTTCTTTCAACATTTTCTAGAATAACACAACAAACCACACTTTTAAAATAAACCCTAACAGTTCTCTCTATAGATATTGGTCGTGTAGTTCACGTACTTTGAGGGACGGTATGTTGGCCGCTAGATGTCTCATGCTAAATTCAATGTGAATGGCATTATATGAAAACAAAATTAGTTAAAGTCCCACGGGAGTAAAAGACTAAAAGCTATTTTTTGTTTTACAAGGTTACAAAACTGAGAAACTTTAAACTTTATGCATAAATGATGGGTAAGAACATAGATTAATAACAATACAGATAGAACGCTATATGTCGTCTTTTCAAGTTCAGGGCTTTTACGTTCACGAAGAACCCATGAGGCAGAAGCCTAAAGGAGTTAGGCGCATGCGCTTGTAATTCAACGCGCCGTGAGTTTAACTCCTTTAGGACTCTGCCTCAGGGTTATTGTGAACGAAAAACCTCTATATCTTGAAAGGACGTCATCTAGTGTCCTATCTGTATTGATATTAATCTATGGGCTGCAAGATCTAAGAAGTTTAAATAAATAATGAATAAAGTTTATCAAAAAGCTTTCTTTATTTCCTATTAGTCCCTTTATCAGAGTAGAGGCTCTTAACCAACTAAAAATCTGTTTAAAAAAAAGAGAATTGTTCAAATATTTTAACCTTCATCAATCCTGAAATAGGTGGCCTCGGACCAAATTTAACGAATTGGAGAGGTCGTAATGAACTACTTACCCCCGGCTCAAATCTCGAATCAACAATTCAATTCCTCATGAATCTTTAACTTTGAATCGGGGATTTAAGATTTGAACCGGCAATAGGAAGTTAAGTTACCGACCTCCAATCCTACAAATTCTGAGAATCACGCCTTAATATAAAACCAGTGGTTGACAGAAAAACAGGAGGCTTACAAGGATGGCAGTTTTTATTTAATCACAGGTCTCTAAGCACGGTAAACTGGAAGTCCTGATCAAAAGTCTAGCGACCCTTAACTTTAGTACCCATTTTCACCAATTTTATGCTGATTTTTCGCTTTTTATTCTTTTATATTCGGCTCTGCAATGAAAACTTTATAAGAATTTAAAGTAACTTCCGCTATTTTTCAAGGATTTAAAAATTCCAGAAAAGAAACATTAAATGGAGAAACAGATTTCCTTATTACTCAGCAGAACCTGGTTTCCGGTGCCAGGCTTCCTTGGTACCAGCTTATACTTCTTAGGAGGCCTAGATACATAGATAAGGGAGATAAGTAAGTAGGTAGGTAGGTAGGTATGTAGGAAAGGAAGGTAGGTAGATAGAAAGTTAGATAGGTAAAGCAAGCTATTAATCCTGTATTTTCACAATACTCTTTTTGATCATTTTAAAGGCACTGTAGTTAGACTGAACTGCATAGCGTAATTTCAAGTGACCATCCTTGGAAAGAACGCCAAATGGTCTTGAACCGTTTTTCTAACCAAGAATGAAAAAGATATTGTCGTTTTTTAATTTCTATATGGTTTCCTGTAGTATACATGTTTGTAGAAAAACATTATTGAAAAACAATTCATAAATTAGACAATGTAACTTTTAAATTCACGCCTACGGTCACTTTAAATTTAAAGGTTTTTCTTGTAAAGAGAATCTATCTAATCTAGGTGACAACTATTTCTCTATAAGTTTAATTCCCTCTTAAATGGGAATTTCTTTTATTTCTTTTCCAGTTTCCTGAAATTAAAAACTAAAACTTTAAAGGGATTGTAAAGATTTACAAAGGTACCCTTATCTGATCGATAATGTTGATACCTGATACCTGATGATACCTGATACCTGATACCTGATACCTGATACCTGTTACCTGATACCTGATACCTGATACCTGATACCTGATACCTGATACCTGATACTTAATACCTGATACCTGATGCCTGATGATACCTGATACCTGATGTCTGATACCTGTTACCTAATACCTGATACCTGATACCTAATACCTGATACCTGATACCTGATACCTGATACCTGATACCTGATACCTGTTGCCTGATACCTGATACCTAATACCTGATACCTGATACTTGATACCTGATACCTGATATCTTTTACCTGAAACCTGATACCTAATACCTGATACCTGTTACCTGATACCCGATACCTGATACCTGATACCTGATACCTAATACCTGATACCTGATACCTGATACCTGATACCTGATACCTGTTACCTGTTACCTGATACCTGATACCAGATACCTAATACCTGATACCTGATACCTGATACCTGTTACCTGATACCTGATACCTGTTACCTGATACCTGATACCTGATACCCGATACCTGATACTCGATACCCAAAACCTTAGAAATAACTTAAGTTTTACAGCTAAAAAATAGGAAAAAATGGGAAAGGAACTGAGTTTTTGCCACAGACAAAAATTTTCCTATCCCTTTATCTTTGCAACCTATTGCATGGTTTAAAGTATCAAAGGTCTCCTACATTGCGTAGCAAAGATATAAAGATTAGAAAATTAGAGTTTGTGGCAAAAACTCAGATCTTTTGCTTTGCTGGGGATTTCAGTCTGGGCCGTGGGAGCACAGTCCTCCATGTGGCCTTGCCCTTGCATCTTACATCAATGAACCAGGATTCCAAACTTGGCCAACTCAAACATGACTTATTATTTAGCTAGGAAGGTGTTTAAGGGCGTGATGTGTCTAATCCTACGCCTGTAATCGTATACATTTGTAAAATAAAAATTAGTCTTAATAAATAAGAAACATTATTTTTTGACTTTTTTTGACATTTAAAAAAAAATTTTATTTGAAAAATTCTACCTTTTGAACGTTCTACCTTTTGTAATTCTACCTTTTGAACATTCTACCTTTTGTTTGTTCTACCTTATGATCGTTCTACCTTTTGTCATTCTACCTTTTGTAATTCTACCTTTTGTAATTCTACCTTTTGTAATTCTACCTTTTGTACTGAAGCCATTTTGACTGCATACGGTTGTACTTAGTAAAACATGAAAATTGAAGTATACAAACAGAGTAAACTTGTCTGTCTTCACTGTTCATCTTGCAGAGACATTATAGACACATCTTTACAGTCTTTTACACTTTTCAAAAAATAAACTCTAGCAGACATAATAACATTTTGGCTTTTGAAATTAGGCATTACAATACTAATTCATAACAAAGACGATATCCAATTCGTTACTGAATTCCCATGCTGTGAGCAATCTGTAAGTCGTCTTTTAAGCACCATACTTTAAGGGGAAACCCTGTATTTGTTTAAAACGTTAAAGGCGCAAAAAAATCAAATAGAAGCGCAGATGAAAAAATTGACTAATTTTGTCACCAAGAAAATGTGTTTTTTAGAAAAATTAGAAATTTTGACCTGGAGTAAAATGTTATTTTTTCACTCTGCTCAACTGTAAAATTAAATGTAAAAATATTTATAATTTTATTTCCAAACAATTAGATGAATAAAGGTTATTGTACAATATTTAAAAGAATGCAAAAAAAAACAGTTTGATGTTAAAAAATAAAATGAACTCAAGAAAATGTTTTATAAACGGAAAAGTATTTAAAATAAGAAAAGTACTTACAAAAACCAGTCACTGTCCTGTAAGAAATCCGGAAAACTCTCACGAAATCTAAATTGTAAACCTACTAAATATATCTTCAACAAAAAATTTTAAAATCCTTAGATTTTAAGGGGTGGTTTTTACGTTTTAAAAAACGTGTGTTCAATCTTCTTAGCCTACTATACTTCGTTTTATTGTACTAAAAAGTGTATGTACAGGGTGTCCCACGAAACACGACAGTTGGTGAATATATAGTTTAAAATGTTTTCTTCCATAATTAGTTAAGTTGTTAAAGAGAATGATAAAAAAAATATTGTATGCCAATTATATTATTGTAAAATTGATTTCAAAGTAAAATATATTAGAGAAAAAGATGTTTTTAACGAAATGACATGCAATAAATCCTCAATATCCAATATAATATATGGAAGAAGACATTCAAAACTATTCAACAAATGTCATGTTTCGTGTACACTACAATGCTCATGAATGAGGGGCCGTGTTTTCTAAAATGCCGTTTTAACTTTCAAAAGTAGGTCTAATACTCAAAAGTAGGTCGATTATTTAAAAGTAGGTATAATATTCAAAAGTAGGTCTAATATTCAAAAGTAGATCTGATATTCAAAAGTAGGTCTAATATTCAAAAGTAGGTCTAATATTTAAAATTAGGTCTAATATTCAAAAGTAGGTCTAATAAATTCAAAAATGTGCTCGGTCTCTTTAAAGATTTTGAAGAAAAAAGATTAAAATAATATCTTATTTCATTTATCTTTATATTTCTATCTATATAGAATCCCCTTTGCACAATAAAACGACGTATAGTAAGCTTAAAAGCGTAAATACACTTTTTCACATACACCCTGTATCCCTTGTATGCATTTCTTAAAAGAATTTTTTTTAAATTATAAGTTATAACCGTCCTTAAATTTTCGTTAAAATACCAGGAACAGCCGATTATTTAATAATCATTGTTAATGAATAGTAATTGTAAAATTAAGTTGACCAATGAATGATGCAAATTATTTTAAAACTCAAAGACGACATTTACATATAGATTAGAAGATGAATACCTCGGATCATAAGCAGCTCTATTTTCTAAATGTTTTATCACTCCTACAGCCGCAACCCAATCTAGTACAGAATAAATTCAAGGCATAGGATGTACAGGGTGTCCCAATAAACATGGGAATTCAGTGACGAATTCAATATCGTCTTTATGAATAATTCTTTGATTTAGTATAGTGATACCTACTGAGAAAGCTGTAATCTGTAAGAGTTTCGTCTGCTATGTTTACATTTTGTTTGTTTATGTTTTGACTGCAACCGGTTGTACTTAGTAAAACAAGAAAATTACAGTATACAAACAGAGTAAACTTGTCCATATTCATTGTTCATCTTGCGGAGACATTATAGACACATCTTTTCAGTCTTTTACCCTTTTCATTAAATAAACTCTAGCAGACATAATAATATTATGGCTTTTGAAATTAGGTATTACAATGCTAATTCATAACAAAGACGATATCGAATTCGTCACTGAATTCCCATGTTTTTTGGGACACCCTGTAGGATGTAGGATGTAAGATGTAGAATGTAGGATGTAAGATGTAGAATGTAGGATGGGATGTAGGATTGGATGTAGGATGTAGAATGTAGGATGTAAGATGTTGGATGTAGGATGCAGGATGTAGAATGTAGGATGTTGAATGTAGGATGTAGGATGTGGGATGTAGGATGTGGGATGTAGAATGAAGGATGCATGATGTATGATGTAATATGTAGGATGTAGGATGTAACGTCTATAACAAGAAAAAGGGTATAAAAATCCTAATTAGATTTGGTACATTCATAAAATTTTTGTTTATTATGTTTAGAGCAGTTTATTTTACAAACCTAAATCTTACTTATTTTTTTCAGAAAAAATAATTCTAAAAACTAAATATTAAAATTTCAAATTTTAAATTTCCAGTGTATGTAAATGTGTTTATATTAAAATTTTGTTATTTGGTTTTCAGAATTTTTTGTTATTGAAAACTCCAAAGAGATCTTGGAAGGGTTGGGAATACTCTTTGAAGCTTAATAAAGTACATAGCCTAAACTGAATTGAATAAAAATATGATTATGCATACAAACTATATGTACATGTTAGAAATAACAAACAATACTGAGTAATTAAATTTGATGAGATTAAAGATGAAACACTTCAGGAATCTCCGCCTCTGTTGGCGGATGTATCAGGGTTTTAAACATGGCGAATCCGTTATACTCCGCGTCCCAGGAACTGTTATCACGTCTCCGCGCCAACCCTGAGAAGCTGCCCCGCTCCTCCCATCCGTTATCTAGAGTTTGACAGATTTTCCGGCTTAGCTTGTATCGAACAATAGATATGAGCCTGGCTCATTTCTTAGACTATCTAACGGACGACTAAAACAAAGCTTGGGTTTGAATCTTTGTTTTATACTAACTATTTATGTACAGTAATATCTTTATACAGGAACATAGATATGGAACCGTACTGTTTTACACTATCAAGTGAAGGGGACTCAAAAAATATAAGCGCCTCCAATAATAAAAGTTCCCTCCATCTAGTGATGGTTCCTCAATCAAGTAAAGGTGCCTCCATCTAGTGAAGGTTCATCAATCAAGTAAAGGTGCCTCCATCTAGTGAAGGTTCCTCAATCAAGTAAAGGTGCCTCCATCTAGTGAAGGTTCCTCAATCAAGTAAAGGGGCCTCCATCTAGTGAAGGTTCTTCAATCAAGTAAAGGTGCCTCCATCTAGTGAAGGTTCCTCAATCAAGTAAAGGTGCCTCCATCTAGTGAAGGTTCCTCAATCAAGGAAAGGGGCCTCCATCATTTATTTCTTATTAATTATTAATTATTGTATCTACAGTATAATTTTTAGGAAATGCAACAAAATAGAGGCATAAATATCCATTCATCATTTGACACTATATTTAAAATGGATCTGGTGAAGGGTTTCATCAAAAACCAAGAAAACCACAAAAATCATTACTGTGATGCAAAGTACCTAAAAAATTTTATCTGAAAAAAGAAGAGCTGTAGATGTGAAGAAAGTAAGAAAACAGAAGAGCTGTAGATGTGGAGAAAGTAAAAAAAAGAGCTGTAGATGTGGAGAAAGTAAGAAAACAGAAGAGCTGTAGATGTGGAGAAAGTAAGAAAAAAGAAGAGCTGTAGATGTGGAGAAAGTAAAAAAAAAGAGCTGTAGATGTGGAGAAAGTAAGAAAACAGAAGAGCTGTAGATGTGGAGAAAGTAAGAAAAAGAAGAGCTGTAGATGTGGAGAAAGTAAAAAAGAAGAGCTGTAGATGTGGAGAAAGTAAGAAAAAAGAAGAGCTGTAGATGTGGAGAAAGTAAGAAAACAGAAGAGCTGTAGATGTAGAGAAAGTAAGAAAAAAGAAGACCTGTAGATGTGGAGAAAGTAAGAAAAAAGAGCTGTAGATGTGGAGAAAGTAAGAAAAAAGAAGAGCTGTAGATGTGGAGAAAGTAAAGAAAGTAAAAAAAGAAGAGCTGTAGATGTGGAGAAAGTAAGAAAAAAAGAGCTGTAGATGTGGAGAAAGTAAGAAAAAAGAAGAGCTGTAGATGTAGAGAAAGTAAGAATAAAAAGTTCAAAAAGAAATTCTATCCAAAATCACCGCAGTCTCTTTCGGACTAAAATTGCAAGTTTATGATGTTAATCATTATGATTATCATGGAAGTGTGAAAATCCTGGGAAATGAGAATATCGGTTAATGGTTAACGGTCCTAGTTAAACGTCCAGTGAGTCTTAACTCTGGAACCCATTTTCACTCATTACATGTAGATTTTTCGAATTTGCTATTTCATACCTTTTTGTTAGACTATGCATTTTAAATATTAAAGTGTAAAAACTCTCTTACACTATTTTTAGCGGATTTTGAATGAGAGATACAAATATTCCAATTGATACAGGATTCACTTCGCTGTAGTTCGTTTGACATGGCTTACCTAGGTTTCGAGTGATAAAATTGAAAATATTAGTTAGCGAGGTTAGATCTATGCTGGAAACAAGATTTGTTAATCTAAACAAGAAAAATTGTTAAATTAAAAAAGTTGTTTTTGTTGTTTTGAGAATAATCCCTAAATGATAGGAATAGAAAAAAATTGAAGGGTAAGGTTGAGAATATTATTTAGTTTTTTTTTCTTATCTGAACGGGACTGTTAAAGAAAAAATGAGAGGTGGTTTAGGCTGAAACCCAGAGGAGCCTGAATAACTTAGGTTTGCTCCTATTTTTATTTGAATTTAATAATTTTTCCTTTTTAATGCATATAATAGATAACATAGTTGATATGACTGTATCATGTGACCAGAAATTCCACCAATGGCAAGGCAGTATCATTATATCGTGATAAAGGAGACATGTGACAATAATACTGCACTGCCATTGGTGGAAGTTCTGGTCACGTGATACAGTTATATCAATTATATTATCAATTATATCTATTAAAACTGATAGAAGCAAACCTAAGTTATTCAGGCTCCTCTGGGTTATCGTAGTTTTCAGATTGGTTTCGTATTTGCTGAATATCATCTGTTTCAAAGCTTAGATTCTTATACCAAATCTCATATATATAAGTTTTAGTATAACTTTGACACAGTTTTATATTAATTTCTCGAGACAGGAACATCAGATAGAACACTTATATGTCTCGATCAAATCCTAAAGTATCGAGGTCTCAGCCTTTACCACCTTTCATCTTTCCTGAACAGTCCTTTAAAACAAATATATTGTAATGTTTTAAAAAAAATTGTCATTCAATAAAATTACTAAATCTTATATCTTTGCAACCTTTAATAACTCAAATTATGAAAAATGTTAAACCAAATAGTCAAAGTTTTAAATATGAAAGGTATACGCCAACAGGTTGGCAAGATATAGGGATTAGGAAATTGTAGCGAGTTGTCATTTCATTCATACATATTTCAAGAAGAAAAACCCTATGTTAGGCCAAATCACAATTTGGACCCCTCCTCCAAGATTAATATTATAATGTTAAAATAAGTTGGGAGACTTGAGATCTTGAAAAGTACGAATGCTGAAAGTACTTAGTTTTTTGTTCATAAATCCTGGAACAATTTTTCATTTAAAAAATAGTTTTTGTGAAACATGTTTCAAGGAATCACTTAATGTTCTATGCAAGTTACAAATAATTAATATTAGTTTTAGACAATTTCAGTAATTTTGATTCATTTTAGATTTTAGTGATTCATAGGAAGACGATATGTTAACAATTTTATGTATGTTTGATGTTATTGAATATCAACGATTGAGTAAAATGGTTTTGTGTACACTGCACAATTGCCGTTTTCATGTTCACTGGATCGACTTTATAGAATAAGTTGAATTGGGGGGATCAAGTATTTATCCTCAACTTTAAAAGTGTCCACATTGAATATCGAGATCAAGGGGTTAAGATTAACGATACTTCACACAAGAGTTTCAACTTGAGCTCACCCAGTCAAATCTAACTGACGATTTTCTGCCTCTGTCTGGTTCAAATGAATTCCTAAATAAATTTTTAAATAATTTCCTAAATAAATACCTTTATAAATTCCTAAATAAATTTTTCAATAGTTTCCTAAATAAATTCTGAAAGAGAATACTCATAAAATTACTTGATAAATTTCTAGAGAAATTCTAAGATGAATTCCTAAATAAATTAATTAAAAATTCTTAAAGAAATTTCTAATGAAATTCCTAATAAATTCCTAAATAAATTTCGAAATAAATTTCTAAATAAACTTCTAAATCAATTCTTAAACAAATTCCTTAAAATGCCTAAAGTAATTCCTAGATGATCTCTTAAATAATTCCTAAATAGATTCCTGCAAAAATTACTAAATAAATAACTTAACACTTTCCAAATAAATTCTTTATAAATTCCTAAATAAATTCCTAAATGAATTCCTTAATTAATTCCTCGTGTTCTAATTAATTTACTTAATAATTTCCAAATAAATTCTTAATAAAATCCTAAATAAATTCCTAAATAAATTCCTTAATTAATTCCTGATGTATATCAAATTATGGGTTTTAGTTGGGTTTGATTTCAATTTCCCAATCATTTTTGGCTTTAACAACTCTATCAAATAAAAGGCTTTCTTTTCCACCATATAGCTTTCATCTTTCTTAAATTATACGCTGCTAGACTGGGAACCCAGCGTTGCCTTGGGAACCCAGCGTTGCCTTGGGAACCCAGCGTTGCCTTGGGAACCCAGCGTTGCCATAGTTACCGGGAAACTAATTTTTCGCCATTAAATTCAACCCGTATATACATTTCACTTTATTAAGAGAAAAAATATCTTACTTTTTTAACTTCATTTTTCTATCTTTATATTAAAGCTCTTCACTCATATATATATATCCCGTGCAGAGTGAAATATAATAAAAATAAATCCAATTCATTTTCTTTTCAAAATTAGAAATTCTCTTATTCAACATTTTTAATTTTTGTTTTTCAAAATTCGATATTTTTTATTCCATGGGCACCACCGGGCACTTGAGCTAGAACTTCATAAGCTTGATCTGTAAACATTTGTTTTTATACATAATTTGAGTTAAAATGCAAGTACGCTACTGCATTAGATTATAGATATTTAGGTAAAATTTATCAGTTATACTTTTTTTGTTGATTAAGTAAAATGATCTGCGCAAAGCGCAAAAAATTGTTTAAATTTGTCCTCTTTTGGTAACTATGGACATGGCGGAGAATGGAGATCAAGTTTCTATTCGGGGATATTTATGTCCTCAAAATTCTAGGTGGAGGGGGTACCCCCAAGATGTTAGGGGGGTGGGGGATGGTAATTACCCCAAATAACCCCCTATCTACGCATATGCTAAAGATTTAAGTTTGATTTTTGTATTAGAAGTGATTTGCCATATTTGTATTTAATTAATTAATAAATGAATGTTTTACTTGAAATTGCTTCGTACAGTGTATCCAGCAACTCCTGGGTTACAAGCCTAAACAAACATATCGAAAAGTATATTTTTTTCGAATTTCAGATTATATTTTTCATTAAATTTTTCATTATATTTTTCATTTTTTTCATTATATTTTTCATTATATTTTTCATTATATTTTTCATCATATTTTTCATTATATTTTTCATTACATTTTTCATTATATTTTTAATTATATTTTTGCTTTTTCTAAATTGCATTTTTATCTGAAAACTAAATTTTTCGGGAATATAAGAATTAATTAATACAATTTGCATTATTTCTTGGAGAAACTTTTTTGTAAATCATGGTTTATGATTGAACACTGTCATGTCCTTAGGGGTTTAATGGAAAAGGACAAATTGTCAAATTGTCAATTTGACAGAAACGAAGCAGATAACTATTTAAATGCAATGATTAATAATATAATATAATTAATTTATAATATATAATAATATACAGTTAATTTATTAATCCATTCTTTTTAAAAAGCAATAATAAAGAAAAATCTTACTTAAAAGTATATTAATATAAACAAATTTTTTCTGTATGAACTTTACTCAACTAATTTTTAAAAATAGCAATTAAACACCGAACTTGACTACTGTTCATAAGATAGCAATAAAGCAATGAATTGAGCTATTGTTTATGAAGATAACAATCAAACAATGAACATATGTATTGTGCATGAAGATTGCAATACATCAATGAACTTAACTTTTGCTCAGAAAGATAGCAATAAATCAATGAACATGACTATTTTTTATAAGATATCGATAAAGCAATGAATTTAGCTCATGCTCACAAAAATTACAATGAAACAAAGAATTAATGTATTGTGCATAAAGATAACTTAACTATTGTTCATAAAGATAGCGATAAAGCAATGAATTGAGCTATTGTTCATAAGATAGCGATAAAGCAATGAATTGAGCTATTGTTCATAAGATAACAATAAAGCAATTAATTGAGCTATTGTGCATGTAAGATAGTAATGAAACAATGAACTTAACTATTGTTCATGAAGATAGCAATAAAACAATGAACTTAACTATTGTTCATAAAGATAGCAATAAAACAATGAACTTAACTATTGTTCATGAAGATGGCAATAAAACAATGAACTTAACTATTGTTCATGAAGATAGCAATAAAACAATGAACTTAACTATTGTGCATGAAGATTGCAATGAAACAATGAACTTAACTATTAACATTTTCCAGGTTCTGCCGAGATCTGAAAGGAGTGGGGAAAATTAGGGAGATATGAATGACGCGGCCCGCCCTACCATATAATAAAACATGCTTTACAGACGGTATAATCCAATTGAAAATGATCTATTAATGGTTGTCTTGAAATTTTTTAATGTGGTTATTAACTATACCATATTTAATAAAAACGGTTTTTTATATTACAAAAAAATACGTTTGTATTGCCAATAGTTTTGCATCCCAAAGAAAAGTATTGTTTGGCGTTATTCAGCCTAATTTTTCCCCTGTTTAATGTTTATAACAACCTATTCAGAATACATATACGCGGTATTGGTATATCAGACAAATATTTCTTATTCAAATCAAGGAATGCAAGGAAAGATAATTGCGGTCGTGTATACTCTGCGTACACATTGAAACCAGTTCTCTTTGGGCGGAATTTGTAAACAAGAATAGAATCATCAGTGTTCGTTTAGTATCCGAGCATTAAATTTTGATAATTTTGATAATTCACATAATAGTTTCCTATGACCAGAATATTTCATTGATTTTTTTATGTAAAAGATGGATCCCATGTCAGGCTTTGACATCCGTCTTGTGTTTACATTACCGCCCAGAGACAGTACACTGCAATACAAAAGATGTGTACACTTCTGAAATAACTTGCCTTGCATTACATCCTTGATTCAAATGGAGTACTGCAAGGCATGTATAATCATGCGGGAGAGCGGGCCGCGTCATTTTTATCTCCCTTATATTTCATACTCCTTGGTCTACAGAGGTTCCTGAGTTAGGCTCGGAAATCAAAACAAAGAGTACTTTTCATACTTAGATACCTGCCGTCTCGTAGGTAAAATTTAGTAGTTTTATCTTCTTTGGTGGGAGTTGATTCTACACCAGTTGGAGAATTCGAAAATGTCTTTGGCAGGAAAGATTCTGATGATGGAGAAAGAAAGAGTGATTTTGAGGAACCCTCAGAAGGGAAAGATTCCGTTGAACCCTCAGCAGGGAAAGATTCTGATAAAGAAGGAAGAAAGAGAGACTCCAAAGCGTTGTACGGGGTTTGATGATTTTCTGGCTTCGAGAACTCAGCAGAAATATCTTAAATAGAAATGTTTTTTTGTTCAGTTGGTTTAAAGGGACTGTAGACATAATACAGTTGGTTTAAAGGGACTGTAGACATAATACAGTTGGTTTAAAGGGACTGTAGACATAATACAGTTAGTTTAAAGGGACTGTAGACATAATACAGTTGGTTTGAAGGGACTGTAGACGTAATACAGTTGGTTTAACGGGACTGTAGACATAATACAGTTGGTTTAAACGGACTGTAGACATAATACAGTTGGTTTAAAGGGACTGTGGACATAATACAGTTGGTTTAAAGGGACTGTAGACATAATACTGTTGGTTTAAAGGGACTGTAGACATAATACAATTTGTTTAAATGGACTGTAGACATAATACAGTTGGTTTAAAGGAACTGTAAACATAATACAGTTGGTTTAAAGGGACTGCTATAGACATAATACAGTTGGCTTAAAGAGACTGCTATAGACATAATACAGTTGGTATAAAGGAACTGTAGACACAATACAGTTGGTTTAAACGGACTGTAGACATAATACAGTTGGTTTAAAGGGACTGTAGACATAATACAGTTGGNGATAGATAGATAGATAGATAGATAGATAGATAGATAGATAGATAGATAGATAGATAGATAGATAGATAGATAGATAGATAGATAGATAGATAGATAGATAGATAGATAGATAGATAGATAGAACGGAAATGTATTATCAAGTATACGAGATTGCAGGCGTATATTCCTATTGCTCCTTTACACTATACGCCTACTACTACACTAAACCTGAAGGAGGTTTTAAAAAAATGTTTTTTTTTGCTTGCAAAGTTAATTTACACCCTATCCTTCTTGTTCTTTCAATTTCATTTGTTAAATTGTTTATAAAAATCATTAATTGAATTTATTAGATTTGATCATTATTATTTGCTTTACTTTTTAAAATTCAAAATGTTAAACTTCATAAGTTTATTTTGTTACATTCAACTAAAAAAAAATTAAAGTAAAAATGTTGATAAATCGTTGCTGAAAATTTTCTTTATCTTCTTAACGTTAAAAAAGAATTTTTTAAGCAAATCATTTTGAAATAAAACAATTTCCATCTTTAATCAATAGTCTAATAAATATTTCAAACTTTTATATACATAAATCATGTTTTCAAATTTAAATTTTATAAGTGGAAAAGCTAGAAAAATTTTAATTTTAATTCAAAAGACTTTAATTTAGACCCTAATGCAAATTTTGGCTGCAGCACTGGGCAAATTTATTGAGAATCAAACTTTAAGTTAATTTTACATTCTCAAATTTCAAGCTGTACTTTGTAAACTGTACTTTGAACATATGGATGTTATATTGTATAGTTGTAAATTAAAGAAAAATGAGTGTCGATGAATCTATACTTTGGTCAGGCAGGGGCATTCTACTGCAGGTTTATATATTATATATTGTGTAGTTTAGTGTAGTGTAGTATAGTGTAGTGTAGTGTAGTGTAGTAGAGTGTAGTGTAGTGTAGTGTAGTGTAGTGTAGTGTAGTNGGATAAAACTATATGTTGTTTGTCTAGGTTGTGGATAAAACTATATGTTGTTTGTCTAGGTTGTGGATAAAACTATATGTTGTTTGTCTAGGTTGTGGATAAAACTATATGTTGTTTGTCTAGGTTGTGGATAAAACTATATGTTGTTTGTCTAGGTTGTGGATAAAACTATATGTTGTTTGTCTAGGTTGTGGATAAAACTATATGTTGTTTGTCTAGGTTGTGGATAAAACTATATGTTGTTTGTCTAGGTTGTGGATAAAACTATATGTTGTTTGTCTAGGTTGTGGATAAAACTATATGTTGTTTGTCTAGGTTGTGGATAAAACTATATGTTGTTTGTCTAGGTTGTGGATAAAACTATATGTTGTTTGTCTAGGTTGTGGATAAAACTATATGTTGTTTGTCTAGGTTGTGGATAAAACTATATGTTGTTTGTCTAGGTTGTGGATAAAACAATATGTTGTTTGTCTAGGTTGTGGATAAAACTATATGTTGTTTGTCTAGGTTGTGGATAAAACAATATGTTGTTTGTCTAGGTTGTGGATAAAAAATGGGAAGTCTTTTCAAAATCTGAATCGGAATCAGGAGAAATTGGATTAAAAGTGGTTTACACACCAAACCTTGGTAATTTATTTTCCCATTTTACAGGCTTTTAAATTTTAGAAAATTTGGAAATAAAATTTTATCATAAAATTAGAATATGCTCGCTAGTACTATATATGTGTACTAAAATGCATTCCATTAACATGCTTTTTTAAGAGGAAAAATCTTAAGAATACAGGCAGTATATATATACTACTAACTAAATTTTCACTATTAAAGTCGATTCACTCAAGTTAGAATCTCAAAACCAAGTTTTGAACTTTCCTGTCGTGTTTCCCAAAATCCCCAATCAAAATTTGAGGTTAAATTGGCCCAGGGGTTTCTAATTTATGATGACAAACAAACAGAGATTACAACTTTATCTACATCCATTTATAAATTCAGCTTGTTTTTGTGTGTTTGTCGGTTTGTTTGTATCCAATAAACGTCAAAACGCACTGTTAGAAAAACCCGCTTACAATCAACAGTATTCAGTTCACGCACCAAGCCATGAAGATCCGTTGTAATATATCAACGATAATTCTGCTTGAATTCAATTCTAAAGAACTACATAAACCATCTTAATGCAGAAAAATCCAGCTTTGACTAGCACAGGAATTGATTCTTTGCAACAGACTCAAATTTTCTCAACTCTATATATTTGAAACCAGATGGTGGAAACCTTTGATTTTTCAAACTTTGATTATATGATCTAACAGAAATTTACAATATCTAAGATCCACGACACTGGTTTGGATGGATGAAGGAAATAGAAAATCAAAGTTTGTTGAGAAGATTCAATTCCTTTATCAAGAATTTGCTCAATATCAGAACCATTGAAAATCCTTATCACATAATAAACATCATTACAAATATGATATGATTACGTGGATTTATAAAGATTTAAAATTACCGAATGTTCCAAACTTCGAGGGACAGGGGGGGGAAGGAGGCAACCGCACCCCTTCCTTCGAATCATATTCTCGGTAAAACAGTAAAAATAAGGCCAGAAAATTTTTTCAGTGAATTTTATAGTTTACTAGAAAATGAAAATGCAGGCTAAAATTACTAGCGTTGATGTTTTTTCAAAGTTTAGTCATTCCAATGAAAATGCTAGTTAAAGTTTAATTTACTCCAATTAAAACGTAATTTAAAATTTATTCTTTACCAATAAAATGTCATTCATTCAAGTTTAGTTTCATCAAATAAACATGTAATTCTAAGTTTAGTTTCATAATAAACATGTAATTCTAAGTTTAGTTTCATCAAATAAACATTAATTCTATGTTTAGTTTCATCAAATAAACATGTAATTCTAAGTTTAGTTTCATCAAATAAACGTGTAATTCTAAGTTTAGTTTCATCAAATAAACATGTAACTCTATGTTTAGTTTCATCAAATAAACATGTAATTCTAAGTTTAGTTTCATCAAATAAACATGTAATTCTAAGTTTAGTTTCATAATAAACATGTAATTCTAAGTTTAGTTTCATAATAAACATGCAATTCTAAGTTTAGTTTCATCAAATAAACATTAATTCTATGTTTAGTTTTTCTAATGAAAATGTTATTTAAAGTTTAATTTATTCCAATAATATGTTATTCAAAATTTAGTTGAATCGTTATCTATAATTTAGTTTATTTAATAAAAAAATGTTATACAATTTAACATGATCATATTATTTAAAATTTAGTTCATTCATTGAAAAAATAATATTCATAATTTAGTTTAAGCATGTTATTTAAAATTTAGTTTTAACATGTTATTTCATAATTTAGTTTAAGCATGTTATTTACTATTTATTTTTAACATGTTATTTATAATTTAGTTTACGCATGTTATTTACTATTTATTTTTAACATGTTATTTATAAGTTTAAGCATGTTATTTACTATTTATTTTTAACATGTTATTTATAATTTAGTTTAAGCATGTTATTTACTATTTATTTTTAACATGTTATTTATAAATTCTAAGTTTAGTTTCATCAAATAAACATGTAATTCTAAGTTTAGTTTCATAATAAACATGTAATTCTAAGTTTAGTTTCATCAAATAAACATGTAATTATATGTTAAGTTTTTCTAATGAAAATGCTATTTAAAGTTTTATTTATTCCAATAATATGTTATTCAAAATTTAGTTGAATCGTTATCTATAATTTAGTTTATTTAATAAAAAATGTTATACAATTTACCATGATCATATTATCTAAAATTTAATTCATTCATTGAAAAAATATTATTCAAAATTTAGTTTAATCATATTATTTAAAATTTAGTTTTAACATGTTATTTCATAATCTAGTTTAAGCATGTTATTTACTATTTATTTTTAACATGTTATTTATAATTTAGTTTAAGCATGTTATTTACTATTTAGTTTTATCATATTATTTAAAATTTAGTTTAATCATGTTATTTACTATTTAGTTTTATCATATTATTTAAAATTTAGTTTAATCATGTTATTTATAATTTAGTTTAAACAATCATGATTTAGTTTAATCATATTATTTATAATTTAGTTCATTTTATGAAAGAATATTATTCAAGATCTATTTTATTCTTTAAATATGTTATTTAAAATTTAGTGCTTATGGTGCAAAGTTTGGTGCTGAAGATAAAAGTTTGGCAGAGGAATTTACACGAGGAAAATTTGGTGCAATTTTAATCCAAGCTTACCAGGATAGGCCTGGACAGACCTTTTTATAGCATCCGGTCCAGGGATGATTAAATTATTTTGGTCATCTGGTGTACTTTCCCGTTTTGCCGTCCATAGTATGTACAGGGTAATTTTTTTCATGTTTCTGAAGAAATATTTGTTGAATTAAACACTTATCTAATTTTATTTTTAGCTGCCCCAATATTTTTGACCCTAATTCGGCAGACCTTTCACCTGCTAAAAATATCCGAGAAATATAGCAAAAATAGGTCACACTTGTGCAAAAATAGGTTACACTTGTGCAAAAATAGGTCACGCAAAATATGAAAAATTCCCCTCCCCGGAAAGTAAAAGTGCGATAAAAAAGTGTGAAACCTTCTGTATTGATGGGGAATGTAAGCAAACTTTTTAAACGTGATGATTAAATTGTGAAAATAATAAATTGAACCAAATATTTAGTTTTGGATTCTGCGAAGTAAGTAACATTTTGAAATTCCACAGAAAAAGTCGCCATTGTTTCAATTTCTACAGAGAGTCAAACCTTTGATTGAGATAGTGTTTACCTTCACCGACTGCACTTAATAACATAGTGCACAAACTTTGAAATTGAGGTGCTTAAAGGGGCTGTAATCGTCATTTCAAGTGACACAGAGATGGCAACTCCAAAATTCCAACAGAATCCTTAAACGCTTTCTCTGATCTCGTATAAATAAGATATGCTTCTTTTTATAATTTTTAACTGTTTATTTTTATTAGTGTTTTCTCATCAAAAATGACTTCCACATTACTTGCTTATAATAATAAATGGAGAAATTATCTTAGCATGGAGGGTTACTTAAGATTGCGGTTACAGTCCCTTTAACTTCTTAAAAAGATATCCATCAATCCCTGGCACTATACTATACTTCGAGTACCCCGCCTTTCTAAAGTTTATATGTCAATTCGGGAAATCATACCCGCGGCTAACCTTAGACATATAAGACACTCAAAAGTTTCGCTCACTCCAAGAAGCTTTATTCTGTTAAAACATAAAATTTTGTTTTTGTTTAAAAGTATTTAGAAAATAAAACTTTAACAAAAAATGTCGACAAATTTTTATGAATAATATTTGGTAGGAACAAAGAATTGCCAAAGGATCGGAGTTCCAAGGGATCTAAGAACGGTAGCAAGGCAAGGTAAGATATAAAGAAACCCTTTGATAAACAAATTAAAATTCTCACTTCTAAAAAATCCCCGAACAAATTTAAGAAAAATCCGCAATTTTTAATTTTCAGAAAGAGAAAACTAAAAATTAACTTCTCTAATTTACATTACAATTGAACTTTTGACAATTTAAGATTACAATTGTTAGATTTGTGATATGATAATTTCATGAATTTTGTAATTTTCCTCTCTGCGGCATTAAGGTTTCATAAGAAATTAATTCAAAGTCATTATTTTAACTTTTATAATTGCTGCGAAAAAAATTTGAAATATCTAAGGTCTACGATAATGGGGTCAAAAAGGTAAAGGGATTAGAAAATCAGAGTTGGCGGCAAAGACTCAATTCCTTTCATCTTTTTTCATTTATAAAAATGACCAAATTCTTATAGAAAATTAACATTTTTCACTGGAAATTTTAAAAGTTCTTAAAATTTAAAATAAAACTTGTACATGGAGAAGAAAATGGGGGGGGGGGGACTTAGCCCCCTTTATTCATAATCTTTTGATCTAAATATTTTAGTTCTTCCATTCCTGGAATTCAAGATCTAGCAGACGAAATAAGAAAATCATTAGAAATCAGTAAAAAGGTAAGCCTTTCTAGATTTGGCTATTGTTTTTTAGGCTGTTTAAAAGAACCCAGTTCAGTGTGTTTTATTGTGTGTTTTTTAGTTCTATGATAATTTTAAGAAACGTTTCCATCTCTATTTTTCATCAATTGAAGCTTACACCACAGTATTAAGAGGAAGTGTCTGATGAGTCAACTTAAGAAAATTACATAAATAATGTATTAAAACTTGTAATATGGAAAAGTGTGTATATGATCAAATAGTTTACATAGTTAAAAAAATGTATCAATATTTTTTCAAAAAAATATATTATGAAATCCGCAAACTTTTTTGTTTTCGTTTTATACTGTACAAAGATAAGATGCTTACAGATAAAGCTACAATTAAAAGTTTAAATAGAAGATGGGCGCGAAGCGGCCTAAAAGCCTAATATATTTATACTTGATTTGTCTAAAATTCTAGACTATAATTTTGATACAGGGTTACCATCAAAGGATGATACTTCATAGACGACTCTACGGTATTTATACTGCACTGTTTCCTCTTATTCATTATTCAAAGCGACTTTAAACTAGTTTGTTTCTTTTCCAAATGATTAAGTAAGCCATTTAATTACTATATTTAAGGTCGAATAGTTAATTTAACCCTGGGATCGGCATATTTCGGTTCTCTTTACAGTAGTAGTACAAAGACCCAGAAATAGCATATCGGATTCAAACTTTTTTGCTAGGAATTCTTATCTACGAGTTCTAAAATTTCCCTAAAAAGGGGTGGTTCATTTGGTGTACTGTCCTGTTTTGCATGGCATAATCTGTACGTGAACTGTACAGCTTGTTCTAGCTGATAAGATGTCGGTCTGGTTCTTTAAATGAACCAGACTAAACAGTACAAGGAGTTGCGACCTTAAATAAGAAAAGAATTTGCAGACTCAACTTATCAAATATTTAATTTCTAGACTTTTATGTGTGAAAATATAAAGGATTTTTTAATTTCTATATCTCTGCAACCGCGTAGTGTAAACTTTTGATATTTCAAACTTAGATTATTTGATCTAACAGAATTAATAGTTTAAAATATCTAAGGTCTATGACAATGGGTTGCAAATATATAGGGAATGGAATATTTGAGTTTGTGGCAAAAACTCAGGTCGTTTATTTGGAAAATATCTTAATTAAGTATTTTTTTATTATTTGCTCTTCATTGGAAACCTTAGAAATGCAAAACTTGAACTTACACGAAAATAAGAATTAATTGGCTCTCAACATTTTTAAGTATTCCGACATTTTTCTATTTTTACGCATTTACATAGAACAGAAATTAAGAATTTATACATTTTGTATGTTAAATGTTTAAAAATATTATTTTGTCTGAAAGCTCAAGTTGCTGTTCAATGTAAAAGTCAAAATTCACTAATTGACAACATATATGAAAAATACTTGAGTCAAATGAGGGTTATCAGAAAGCGATTTAATTAAATTAATATCAAGTCTCGTCTAAAAAGAGTTAAATGATATATTAAGAAGGATCCTTAAAACCTTTGGAATGCAGAACCTTGCAAATTAAGAAATTAATTCAGTCGATTTCCTTCAAATCCACAATTTTCACTTTCATATAGTGAAACCGCAACTGGAAAATACCAATTTTAAAATAGAAAAACCGAGTGTAGTGAATCAAAAAGTTAGTTTTTCTTCGATAGTTTCTTTAATTTGAAAATGAAACCTTTTCATTTTAACTTTGAATAAAAATCCTAGGAAAGTTTCAACTTCGGGCAGGAGATCTTGAGGTTTTGGTGGACAGGTATTTTTTTTGTTAAATTAAGGAGGTTGGTCCCAGTTTTAAACAAACATTTCGGAGAGAACTCTCTTTAATTTCATATTTTGACTTCTTAATCAGTAACAAAATAATATTCATTTACTTTACGTTTAAGAAAATATTTATCGGTAATTTGATTCATTTTAGATTAATTTGAGTTTAACCAGATATATTTTCAGCATCGATGAAGGGTTCCGATATAACCATCAGAGAAAAGGATTTGTTCAATGGATTTATGAAAATAGGTAAAAATACCGCGCCGAAATCTTCCAAATATTCAATTCTAAAGAACTACATAAACCATCTTAATGCAGAAAAATCCAGCTTTGACTTGCACAGGAATTGATTCTTTGCAACAGACTCAAATTTTCTCAACTCTATATATTTGAAACCAGATGGTGGAAACCTTTGATATTTCAAACTTAGATTATTTGATCTAACAGTATTTACAATATCTAAGATCCACGACACTGATTTGGATGGATGAAGGAAATAGAAAATCAAAGTATGTTGCGAAGATGTAATTCCTTTATCAAGAATTTGCACAATATCAGAACCATTGAAAATACTTATCACATAATAAACATCAATGCTATAGATCAATACAAATATAAAATAGAAGGCTATAATGATTACAAGTGAAAAGGGCGAACAATCACAATTTTTTACAAATCTTTTTTTTATAAAAGCCACCAGATTTATTCTAAACAAGACATACTTAGATATCTTTTTTATCTTTTATTTTGTTTGGAATCAATTTACGTAGTATTCACTAATATTAATAATAATAGGGCTATTTGGACATTTTAAGAAACGCTA